TAAAGAAACGAAAAAATGAAAAAATTTTAAGTCGAGAAATAAAAAAATTAAAGTTGAATAAACGAAAATTTATGGAACGAAAACATTCAAAGATAGAAAAATGGAAAAATGAAAGAAAAAGAAAAAGGAAAAATGGGGTATCAAAAAATTGATCGAAGCTAAATACGAGTAAATCCAGATTTTTCGAAAAATTATAAAAACTATGACCGCACTGATATATCACAAGTATAGAGGCGAAATATTTTACATATCTAAGAGAGAATTTATTAGGCAAAATTTTGAGATGACGTCATCAATTTTTTGATAGGGGATAAATGAATAAATTTTTATTAACTATTTAATACGATTATGATAACCTTAAAATTGTATAATGTTATTTATATGTATTATAATTATACAATGTTGATTCATCGACTATCACATGAGTATCTTGTTTAATAAAATTAAAACAAATATATTATTGTAAATTTTGGATATAACGTCATACCATTGGTGGTAGGGATATTAGTCAAATTAGTCAGTCTTATGTGTCCAATAAAAATTGATACAGATAGACAGACAGGTGGCACCGGGAGACCACTTTTTGTTACTCTAGAGGTCATGAATCGTCGAAAAAACATGAAAGAGTGAACACTTAAGCTCAGGAAGTAAAAAAAAACTGTGCATCTCGATGATAAAGTTCTTTTATCACGCGATAATTTATGTCGGGGCATTCCGTGTTTTCCAAGTTTAAGAACTTATCAATGCAGATAAGGTCTCATTTTTAATTCCGCAAACCTATCCCGTCCCATGTGTTTGGTAAAATTTTTGTCCGATAAATTTATTAAAAGCAGCCGCTCGTACAGTCGATAAAATACCCACTCCGTCGGAACCTCCCTTATTTTGAATGCGCCATGTACGGCTCCCCCGCAAGTAGCCGCCTTAATAAAACTTGTCGAATAAAAGTGGTAACCGGGCCATATTGGCCGGGTCAGTGAATGAAATAATAAAATAAGCTCGAAAAATGCCTCGAACGGGTTTCGGCATTAAAGTTGCATGAGGCAAGTTTGGTCCGAAATTGGTCGTTATGTATGGAAATGGTAATTGTACCTTGACCGTCTCTTATCATCGGGGTGTAGTCAGTTCACCCCATCGAAATTATGCAAATCCGCATCGAGTTTGTGTAACCATAGCTTGGCCATCATCAAAATTTACAAACATTTGTGGATCAGCCGAGGGAGTTCAAAGGCAACGCGACGAGGTCGTATGGGTTTCACGTCCCACGTTGTTGATTCAACGTCCTTGTTGTATTTTATTGGCTTTCTTCGCGGTATTTGCTCTTCGCGGTGCAACTATTTGGTTACCGATCGGCGCCATTACCCATTGGTATTCCGCGGCCGCAGCGGCCGTCGATGGCGAGAAGTCCGGGTTCCGGGTGCCCATCAAGCGATTCTTGTTATAGGACGGCCGATGAGGCAGTCGTGCGTATCCGCGCGCCGATCTCATGCTGATGTGGCCGCAAAGTTCAAATCTAAATATAAATTGCTATTGGCGGGGCTGCGCCGATGTTTACCGCTCAAATATTTGTGCTTTTATGCCGATCGCGAACGATGCACTTTACATGTTCCGGGGCTTTCCCGGACTTCGCCCGGACTCGCTCGCTCCCCACAGCTTTATGCAGATGTCAACGAGACTGTCTCAATCGCAATTATAATGGGGAGGGACGCGGGCTCTCGCTCTCACGTACCGAAAGAATTCGGCAGATCATAGCGGAAACGTCGCCGATACCGCAGGAAAATTGTCAGGGGATAAATGTGGTAATACGAGGGATATTCAAAAAAGACTAAAACCGTCAGCCATCTTAGTGTACATAAAATGATGGACTTAATAGGTTTTAGACCATCGCAGGGTTGGAAATTATTACGTTTAAATTTTTAGCTAAGGACGTGAAGCGCCCAATTTCCAAACAATTATCCGACTGTGACATCTGGACTGATAATTACACCACAGTAGCGGAAATTTTGACGCAATGTATCGCAATTGGTGAACGGTGGTTGCAAAGTTGTAAGCAACTAACTCAGATATTTTGGCTTAACTATTCCTCCAATATGTGGAAAGAAGAAATGTACGAACCTCCAAACTTAGGCAAACTTGTGGACAGACTTCGAGAGGTAAGTTTTTACGTTTTGGGGATTGTAACTAACTTCGGTTCGTAGATACTCAACATCCAAACACTTCTGAGACAGTTAACGCGGTTGTTGACTCCACAAGAACAAGAAGATTTGAAAACGAACGACATGTTTAAAGATTTCAAAAGTAACACTTGTAGTTCTATTTTCTTACATCTATATAAGTTCTTTTGTAGATCTTAACATTTTTGAGTTTGGTCAATACTCGACTAACCTGTGGTTGAAAGTTTGCAAACAATTCGAATATTTACTCCAACGAGCCGAAGAAAAAGTCGCTAGTAAACTAAAAAAAACAACTATCAAGCATCGACGCCAACACTCGACAGCTTCTTCACGAATTCACCCGATATTCTGCTCTTATTAGTAGACCTATTTTAAAGCAAACCCTTCTAGCGGAGCGTCAACACTTGCTAAATTCTCTTTAAGACTACGGACGACATCTTCAATCTCAAAGCACTTCTGAAAACACACTGTACACCAGATATGACACACCTCAAGTTGTCGCTGATGTGATAATCGCAAAACAATTAGAAGCTAAAGCCAACAAGGTGTTACAAACGTCACAAAAACTGTTAGAAGATCTCAAAGGTTTTGAAAGTTTGCAACAAATGGTGACTGAATTGTTGAAAGATCTGAAACAACAACACGCCGAGCTTTTTGACTCATGGACCAGCGAAATTTCGTCTTTGATTAAAGAAGGGGTTTTGACTTTGAAAGAATCTGAGCCGGTTGTGCAGTTTTCTAAAGATAATAATAAATTAATGAGGGTCAATAATTCGACCGTTTGGTGACTTTGATTTCAGAAGTTCGACAGTTTAAAGCTTTGGGTTATCATATTCCGAGTCATATTGACCAAACTAGTGAGCACGCGAAGGAGTTTATGAAATTGGCAAGAGTTCTAGAACAGGTATTTGAAAAATATTTCTAGAAAGTTTCTATATTTGGGTTGCAGATCGCCAATTTTCATAACACTAACGGTAGTAGGATGATCAAGAGTCAGAGACCGATGATGTTGGCTAGTGCGCTAGATCTTTCACGTCTGGTTCAAGAGGAAAAAGTTGTCTCTTGGGAGGACACAAAGTCGGTTGAAAAGAACGTCGATACGTTGAAAAATGCAGTTGAAAAGTTATCAAAAGCGAATTATTTATTGGCTTCGTACTACTACCAAATTATGGTCAAAGTATTAAGATCTTTAAATTTCATTATTTTGCTAACTTAATTTCACACCAATTGTACATCAAATCTCTTGAAGATGTTGACTTAATCAAAGACTACAGCAAATGGAAAGATGCCACTAAATACATGAGAAACATCATGTCCCAAGTCGAAGAAAAGGGTTTCAAAAACATGCAAACGTGGAAAACCGATGTTGGCACAAATCTGTGCACAGTACTAGAGAAACAATACATTAGAAGTTTAGACATTCTTCATCTATATCTGTCGGAAATCTACACCGATATAATCTATCGAAAGTCTGAGTTACAGTTTTCTCCAGACCAACTGTCCTAATGGAAAAATATCAACACCAACTAAAAAAGTTCTTAGATATTCCGAAATCCTTTCGCGGGGTTTCGGAAAATTCTGACCACAATATGTTTGCTGATATTGTCGGTAGGAGCCAGAAAGATCTAGAAAAAGTCAATAAGCACACGGAGGATCTATTTGAGCAACTGGGAAACGTTTTAAAACACTGGCAGTCGTGGCTTCAGTTAGATTCCCTTGATGTTAGTAACTGACAAGTTGGCAGCACTGGGATCTACATTTCAAAGCTTCTAAAACCTTTGGACAAGAAATAGCTAAATTACCAAGGTATGCGTTCTACTTGACATTGTAGCAATTTTGATACACAATTCTAGCACTCAAGAAAGAGTAGAATGCTTCTTAATCGGTCTGTCTAGACTGCGTTCAGACCTAGAATCCCACAACGGAAGCTACTGGGATCAACTAGTTCTTTCTCTTAAGAAATCCATAGCACAGGACGTCGTCAAACTCCAGAATTACGTCGATCCTTCAACCGCCATTCTCACAAAACAACCAGTAACTCTAGAAGAAGTAGGAGAATCTGGTGCTGCGCATGCCAACATTTTAAAGGAAAGATCACCAGTAGAAATTCCAGAATTCTGACAACTTTTACTTTTGGTGTTTCAGATGGAAGAATGCTACAACCAAATGATTCAGAAATCCCAGACTTTGTCCAGCTGGACACGAGAACAAGTTGATTCAGTCAACCGTTTGAAAGGGGCGTGGGAAAAACTTCAAAGCTTTCTAGAAAACCATCAACACATCATTGCCCAACAAATGGCGACTATTAAGACAACCCTAAACATTGAAAGCGAAAATCTGGATAAAGAAATAGAACGGTTTAGTGCAAAGTGGGGGCAAATTAAACCCAAATCACACATTGGTCAAATCGCCGATCAAAATATCGACGAGTTGCATAAACAGTTGACTGGTATTAAAGAGAAGAAGGAGCACTGGCACGAACTGATGCTAAAGAAAGAGAAGGTTTCGCTGACCATGATAAATTCGATATTGAGAAACCTGAGCTTAGGTTGGTCGAAGAGCTAGAAGCCGACTTGAACAGAGAAGAAAAGTCGTGGACGCTTTTCGAGGAATTTTATAACGAATTGGAAGCTTTGACCAACGAAGACTGGATAGTCTTCAGGAAGAAGATCTACTAGTTTGACGACTTTTTGTCAACCTGGCAAACAAAACTGAATAATGCGTCTCAAGGGGGTGACCTAGAAATGAGAATTTTGCAAGAAATAGACAAATTCCAAGTAAACCATTTTAACAAAAGACGGCAATACATTTTTTTACGTGTTTAAGAGTATGGTAGGTTGTTTGAAATACGTGAAAGGTGAAGATTTTACCGACAAACTTTGCATGGGCGTGTTCAGTCTTCTCCAAATGCCACTAAAGCCTTTAGACGACTTGAAATTCAAAAACATTTTAGACGTTTCAGACAAATTAACTTCTTCAGTCAAAGAACTACAAGTAAGTTGGGTTTTTCAGGTTCACGTAACTCGAATAGACTATAGGCAATCTGTAAAAAAGCTGCAAGCGAAATTGTGGTTCGACAAGTTCTAGCAGAACTCGATCAGTGGGACGTTCAAGCCAGATTTATTCTAACAGTTCACACAAACTCTAGAGGCAAAAACGTCAAGCTGGGGAAAGATTTCAAGGAGATTTTAAGCAACGTAAGTACCAAGAACATTTCCCCAAATTTACACACCAAAATCGATTTAGATCGGAGACAACCAAAGTCTGCTCCAATTTGTCAAAAATTCCGCCGATTATTATGAAAGCTTCTCAGAACGTGCAAGCTTATGGGAGAACAAACTCGCAGTCCTTGACCAAAACTTGTCTCTGTTGGCCCAAATCCAGCGCAAGTAATCATCTACCAACACCTTAGACCACAACTTACCTTTTTTCGTAGATGGGTTTACTTGGAACCCATTTTCGCAAGCGGAACTCTAATCCAAGAAAAGTCCAGGTTTGATAAAATCGACAAAGACTTCCACCACGTTCTCATCTTCATTGAAAAACATCCTCGAGTTTCTTCTTTGTGTAGATACCCAAACCTGAGCGCAATTTTGAAAAACCTCCAAGACCAGCTGAACCGTTGCCAAAAGAGCTTGGATAATTTTCTCATGGTTGTCAATCGACAAGCACTGAGAACCAACTGATTTTTTTTCTTTTAGGAAAAACGTAACAAGTTTCCGCAGTTTCTCTTTCTAGGTGATGACGATCTTCTAGAAGTCGTTGGTCAGTCGTCTGAAGAACAAGTCATTCAAGCGCACCTCAAAAAATTGTTTGCTGGAATTAACACGATCCAGTTGAATGACGACGGTAGCAAGATCATCGCGATGTGTTCGCTACAAGATGAAGTCGTACCTTTAACCAACCCGATCAATATAAATAGACCCGTGGAAGACTACCTCAACTCCTTAGTAAAAGAAAAGCAATCCACACTGAAAGAGCTTTTGGTTGAGTGTCTCAGCGAAGGCCAAAACGCGGATCCTCTTAAATACCCTTCCCAAATTTTGTGTCTTGCTGATAACATCACGTTCACACTTAAAGTCGAACAGGCAATAGCTAACATGACTCTACCGCCTCTCCTCGCGTACTACAAAGCCCAACTACCTCACTACAGCTCTTTGGAATTAAGTGCCGGCGAAGAAACGTCTTTTGCGTCAATGAACCTCAGCAAGAATAACGACAACAATACTCTAGAAGTTAAACTGAAGGCTCTTCTTCTGGATACCATACACCACATTGACGTTCTTGGTGAACTCCTCGACGTCAACGTAACCAAAGTTACTGACTGGGTTTGGCAAAAACAACTACGGTTCTATTCCAACTCAACTGGTGAAGTCACCGTCAAAATGGCGAACGCTCGAATGGACTACGCGTACGAATACCTTGGAAACTCGCCAAAACTAGTACGCACTCCTCTTACCGACCGCTACTTTTTAACTTTAACCCAAGGAATGCACTTGAGTATGAGTGGTAACCCGTATGGTCCAGCAGGTACTGGCAAAACCGAATCAGTGAAAGCTCTGGGGGGTCTTCTAGGAAGACAAGTTCTAGTGTTTAATTGTGATGAAGGCTTAGATGTTGCTTCTATAGGGAGAATTTTATCCGGATTGGTCCGAAGTGGCGCTTGGGGCTGCTTCGACGAGTTCAATCGACTAGACGATGCCATTTTATCTGCTGTATCCATGCGAATACAACCCATACAAATCGCTTTGAGAACAAACCAAGCGAAACTGGTTCTTCTAGACCAGGAAATTGTCGTCAACAAGCACTGTGGCATTTTCGTCACTTTGAACCCCGCTGGTGGGAGTTACGGCGGTCGAAACAAGCTACCTGATTATCTAAAGCAGTTTTCAGACCCGTGGTGATGACCCATCCGGACCATGAACAAATTGCACGAACTTTGCTACATTGTGATGGTTGCGAACGCCGACATCATTGGGAAAAAACTGATCGAAATTTTTGATTCGTCGAGTAAGTTGTTAAGTAAGCAACAACACTACGACTGGGGTCTTAGAGCTATAAGAACCATTCTAACTGGCTGCGGCAGGGCTTTAAAGTTACACAGAAAGAAAACTGAAGAAGCGGAAGGTAACCAGTTGTTTGTTGAACCTACTTTGGTTGTCAAAGTGCTAAGAATGGACACTTTATCAAAACTGACGTTCTCTGATAGCGTCAAGTTTGAAAGATTAATCAAAGACGTGTTCAAATATGTGGTTGTTGAAGACATGGGAAACGAAATCCTTGTCAAAGCTTTGGAAGAAAGCTGTCAAGATTTGGCACTTGCGGTTAACCAAAGACAAATTGACAAGTGTTTAGAATTGTACGAACAACTGAAACAACGAATGGGAGTGGCTATTGTCGGACCACCCAGTTCTGGCAAAACTTCAGTACGAAATTTGCTCTTCCGGGCTTTACACAAAATGGGGAAAACTCTCAAGCAACACGTCTTCAACCCGAAAAGTATGCAAAAAACCGAGCTTCTGGGTCAAATCGACTTAGATACCAGACAATGGTGCGACGGAGTTTTAACTCTTTACAGTCTTCAAGTAACCTCGGAACCCTCAGATAAATGTTTGCTTACATGTAACCAACATTGACAGTTGTTATAGATACGTGGTCATGGATTGTCTGCGATGGTAACATCGACCCGGAATGGGTGGAAGCTCTAGATTCGGTCCTTGACGACAACCGACTCCTATCTCTACCGTCCGGTTGGAGAGTCCAATTTGGTCCCAATGTCAACTTCATATTTGAAACACATGACTTAAGTCACGCTTCACCTGCCACGATCTCAAGAATGGGTATAGTTCTACTTAGTGAAGAAGATCTAGATTTGAACTCGTACATCAACAACTATGTTAAAACACAGTCTGAAGACTTTGAAATTTTGCTACACTGTGATTGTTACGCGAACGCCGACATCATTGGTAAAAACTGATCTAAATTTTTTATTCATCGAGTAAGTTGTTGGGTAAGCAACAACGCTACGACTGGGGTCTTAGAGCTATAAGAACCATTCTAACTGGTGGCGGAATCTAACTTCTACAACTGAATTATTAGTGACGTTTTTACGACACACTTGTGCGTAACAAATACCTGCATATTTAACATTTCATTGGCATCACTGATAAAACAACTCATAAAATTCATAAATTGTTTACGGCTCCAGATAAAAAAAAGCGGAAACAGTCCGATATTACGAATTAAAAACTTTACTTTTTACTAGCCTTTTACCACTCATACTTAAAAAAACACCATTACTGTCCATATACGAACACTCTCAATTTAACTGAAGAAAAAAATTCAGCTAAACGTACATTCACTAAATCAGAGTACTTCTCCTTTAAAAATGACGCGAACCACCCACACACATTAAAAACAAACCATTATCCAAAACAAACAAATACACCCAACCGCAACCCAAAGAAATCCACACTTTAAAAATTTTATTTAAAGCGGATAAAATCTCCCGACATCTCGGTTCGGTTTAAAATTTATATTTTCCAAATCGCTTGGTGCATTAAAAGATGCGAAAGTCATGTACGTAAAGCGCTTAAAGCTCCTCTTCCATATCATCATAACATATTAATAGCTTTTCAAAAGCGGCATGAATAAATCAAAACTGGCATTTAACGTCACCGACCTAATAAAAACAAATAACTCTCGTGGTGCGTGTGTAAAATTAATCAGATAATTAATTTATAAACGCCCTTGCAATTTATCAGAAAGCCCCTTTTGTTTCGCAATTGTTTGATTTAAATTTAGAATATGTATGTATCACGCCTGATTTTATCCACTTTTAAACGGTTTATTTTCGTCGCGCAATTCAAGGCTAAACAAAGCGGCCATTTTTTGAGGGACAAAAGTTAGATTAGTTCGTTTAGTGCTGTCGTCGACACGTACCCAACCGAAACTGAAAGCGTTATGGATTAAATTTGTTGAAATTGACTTTAATTGTGCCGGATTATATTAATCCGGGGCATTAAACGTTGAGGATTAAAGTTGTGGATATTGTATTTAAATTCAATAATGCGAAAGTTAGACAACTAAAACTAGCAGCGTGTAAGCTAAAAGTGACACATCTCACACAACTATGTAATTTAATCTGGTGGAACGAACGTTCGCTGAAACCGGTGCATCCACCATTTTTAGCAAATGTCTAAACTAATGCGAAATTATTAAACTCGCTGCTGAACAGACTTCATTCATGTTTTTATGTTTTGCTGTTGCGACACAGAGCTTTCATTTCAACAAAGCAGAATTTCGGAAAAAGAAGATCTGTACTCAGTCGTCAAATTTTGTTTCAAAATCGTCAGTTCTCTAAGTTTTAAAGTCGTCGAAAACCCCCCATCACTTCAAAGGGAAAATTTTTGATACCATGGGAATTCATAACGACGTTATAACAACTCAACAAAGCTCAAAATTCCCATTCTCAAGACCAGTTCAGTCAACGCATCCCATATAATGCGCTTCACCCCCAACTTCCTTTCTTTAATCTCTCATCGATCTATCGCCATGTATAAATTCTCTGCATTTCCGCTGTTGGGCTAGAAGGGATTTACCCTTGCCATCGTTCTCTTCTTAATTTCCTGAAGACACCCCTGTGGACGAAACATCTAAACAACTTTTTGACACTAATTTTCATTTTTCATTCCGTTTTCGCTATTTTTGTCCTTTGAGTTAAAACATTAGCTGGAAGTGGTCTACTCGAGTGAACATTTTCTTAATAGGAACACCGGCACAAACTAACAGATAAAATAACTTTAGAGCCATTGTTACAACAAATTACTTCAAGTCTCGAAGCATAAACCATTGTTAAATAACTTGTTTCAACTCGCTGCACAACTACAACTTTGCTAATTACAATTATGTAACACGCTCACACTCAACTGAACATCTCTAAGCGGATCCAAGTTTTTCTTAGTCAATCTTCGAAACATTCCTACCCGCATGGCCCACTTCCACACACTTGTAAAAATCTGGTCTAGTCTCACGAGAAAATCCGGCAAATCTTTATTAATTCAGCGCTTGTCTGGCTTGGTTTGTTAATGATCGCCTAGTTTATCTTGTTGGCAAACTATGCACAACGGTCTGTCGGCGACATCCTCGAAAATCAAGCAAAGAATCTGCATTCAGACAGCGCCGGGACGCTTGATTAGGCCCAACGAAGCGGCCGCGAAGCGCCCCCAATGACAAACGCTTAAACGAATTGACCAAACACCAAACGTTGTTAAAGTCGCCGTTTCTCGCATCCCAAGTGTGCCAACACAGTTACAAAAAGCACATAACAATAAATTCGGAGAACCTCGACAATCAAATTAAAACACCGCACAACGGAAAAATTACAGAGCTTGTGACAGAATAGTTCGAGCGCGATTAATTACGCGGGTTGAGGCCACGACGGGAAATTATGGGAAATTCAAGTTTCCACAATCGGTTTATTTTTTCACCATAACACGACTGAGTAATAAATAATAACTGAGGGAAAACCGTTCCTGTCGACTATTTTGCAAAGCCGTCAGCGCTCATATTATCCATTTAACAAATGCCTCCTCTCAATAGACAAACAAACAACCCCTGCGAACTTCCCTCTCAACGGTTACATTAAAATTCCCACCAACTCATTAATAACTGACCATCTCAATTTATGTAAATTCGCGTCTGCACTCCTACGCCAAACCGCCGTCCCCCCTATCGCCGTCTCATCGCATCCCATTTGCAAAAATGTCTATTCTAGCCCCGATATTAATTGTGATGTTCTTTGTGGCGGCGTCATTTGGCGGCGGGATAGTGCTCGCTGAGGGCCGGCCCTTCCCAAATGAATATTTTCAATTTGTGCCGCCCCCGGTGGCGGCGTAACGCGCGCCTCTGTTTATGCATCAGTCTTAACGGATGCCGTGGGATTTCTAAGGTAACGAAACACTTACGGAGGATCCCGTGTAACCAACCGTGACCGAGACGGGGTGAAAGATTAGCATACACATAGCGCAGAGTCCCTCCGTTGCTAATAAACTCGGAACTAGCAATAAAACCGATTTGCATATGAATGGAGGATTAAAACTCGCACACGACGCTCGAAGGCTTGAGTGATGGGAGCGCCAAGACGACTGATTGCCACCCAACTTGACAGTTTGCAAGCGAACGAGATAATCATCTTCGTTAGGGTGCGTGCGGTCCGGTATGACCGTTACTAACTTTGATTTACTGGGAGAGGGTTTAAGGAAATCGATGGCTATGTACATGGTTCGAAAATGAAAAGTGGTATTTTAGGTGGGGGAACAACACACGATTTTTTGTTTACGGGATGTGCGAAAAGTTGCTGGAAAAATGTGGACATTGAAGGTTTCACCGATTTTTTTCTATATGTCTATTAAACTAAACTAAACAAAAATATATTTTTCTTCTTTCTTCTTCTTTTAATATATATATATTTTTTTTTTCTAAAGAATTATGTTTTTTATAACCTGATATGTGACCAAAATAATAAACGAGATTTGAATGAAAGTAAATAAAAAAAAATCGAAAAGATTTCATGACTCGTGACAAATTTGAATCACAATAAAAAAACAATTTTCTAAAATATTTCGGCACCTTGAAATTTTTGCACAAGTATCCATTTTTCTTGGTTACTTGAGAAAATACAGTGAAAATAAGCATAGATTCATGATCCAAGGAAAATTTTAGTTAAAAGAAATACTTTCGCGGAGTCAGATTTTCTCAGGTCGATGTTAAGAATTTTTGTTTGCGTTAAAAATGGTGGATGCGCCGGGATAATAAAAATTTTAGTTACATTTTACCAAGGACGCTTAACTCTTTATATATTATTTTATTCTTGTGTTTATACTTGCCCAGAATTGTGTTTTTTTTTTTATAACCTGATACCCGAACGAAATAATCCAAATTTGAATAAAAATAAATAAAAAAATTCTATTTCGATTACAAAATTTTCGCATAAAATGAATTTTTCTTTGTTATTTGAGAGACTTTAGCGAAAATAAACACAAATTCATTATCTTGAAAAAATTTTCGGTAAGACATCTTTTTAAGTTAATTTAAACAAATTCTGTGAGATCATAGATTTTAATTTAATTTCTTCAAAACCGTTTAAGAGACTTTTATTTTTTTATTACTTTTAAGAAAAAGTGTCATGTAAGTCATCTGAAGCACTACAAAAGAACAATTTTCGATAATATTTCAGCAAAAAGCAGACCAGACTTGAATCAAAGTAAATAAAAAAATTCGAAAGAATTTCAGAACTCTGAAATTTCACATAAAAATCAGTTATAAGACGGATCTCTTTTTGAGTTGAATTAAACATCTTCAATTTTTCGAAAATTGTGAGATTACAAACAGTTTTGAATTTTCATTTTTTCAAAAACGTTTAAGAAACCTATGGAAAATGACACATTTTATAGAAAAAGAAAAGAAAAAGAAGAATTTGAATCGCATTAAAAGAACAATTTTCGGAAATTTTCCAACAACTTGATTTTCTCATAACAAGCAAATTTTCTTGATTATATGAGCAGATACAGCGAATAGCAGAAATCCTTTGGTGGATGCGCCGGGATATTACGAAAATTTTAACTCAAATTTTTCAAGGATGCTTAAAAGTGTTTATATGATTATTTTTATTTATATTTTCGAAAGAATTACGTTCTTTTCAATAACATGATATCTTGGCAAAAAACCAGACCAGATTTGAAGGAAAGTAAAAATTGAGCCCCGCCCACCCACCCGTTTTCTAATTTTTTTCTTCAGAAATAAGAAATAAATGTTATAGCAAATAAGTTGTATAACCAAAAAAAAAAATGCGATTAAAGCGTGCCTTCTATTAGTTTCGATTCTCACTATAAGAAAGAACATTTAATTTACCCCGCCCACTCACCCAGCCTTCATTTTGTCCACTCCGAATGAAAGGTGGCTCTCAATTGAAAATAAATAAAATCTGCTAGTATCAGCTAAGATGAGATTGATTTTGGTAAATGACATACCCTCTAAGAAAATAAAGGG